ATTTGGAGCCCGTTCGAGGAAAGTTGGGCTTGGCCCAGAGCTGGCTCCGGCGGAGTCAGGGACGCAGGCCACAGTCGAAAGACTTCCCTACACCCGCACTTGTAGTTCCTTGTCTCACGCAGCCCATTATGCTAAGGCTCGTGACACAGAGTAATGAGAGTAGAACATGCTCTGAAAGCTGGGTACTCCTCAATGTCAAAGAAGGAGCTACAACTCTGCATCTAGGCCCTTGAGCCGTGTTTTCCAGGTGGCCCTGGCGGAAGGAAGTTCGTCGCCCGGCCTGACCCGATGCCAAAAACGGCAAAACCTGAATCCAAAACCCCCAAACCCCAAACCCTAAGCCCTATAACCTATAACCCTAAATCCTAAACCCTAAACCCTAAACCCTAAACCCTAAACCCTAAACCCTAAACCCCAAGCCCTAAACCCTAAGCCCTCCCCAAGCCCTCCTTCTTCTTGGCAGCATGGGCCAGCTGCGACAAGAGCCCATCCGAGCCGCAGGGCGCCTGTGGCAGAAAGACATGGGTAAAAACTGCCATCCTAAGCTGTCTTGGTGTTTGGTGGGTTTAGGGTTTGGGGTTTAGGGTTTAGGGGTTTAGGGTTTAGGGGTTTAGGAGTTTATGCAAGCAGCCTGCGGACACTTCGGACGAAGGATTCGGACGAAGAAAAAAACGAATTGAAATTCATGGGTTTAGGAGTTTAGGGGTTTAAGGCTTGGGGTATGAGGCTTGGGGCTTAGGGTTTGCGGGGTTTCAGGTTAAGGGTTAGGCTGTAGGGTCTTCTTGGGGCAGTTTGGAGGTTCAGGTGTTTCGGGATCCAGCTTTGGAGTTCTATTAGGGCTGTCTGGGGTTCATTGTTTTGATAGAGGTTGGGAGTTTGCTGGGGGCTTCTTGGGCCCCCCTCCAACCCTAATTCAAAGCCTAAAGCCGTAAACCATCCTAAACCCAAAATACAAAGTACCCATAAAGCTCGGCGAGCATGTGAAGTGCCTCGCCTCCAGCCGGGTCTTGGCCTGCTCCTCCGCGACAGCCACGACCTCTCTAGCATTGTGGTTTAGCATTCGAGTAGTATGTTTAAGGTTTAGGGGATAGGGTTGTTTACGGTCTAGGATTTAGGGTTCGGGTCTGGGGCTTGAGGTTCCCCTAGACAGAAGTAGAATTGGAGGGGCCCGTACGCGGCTAAACGAAAAGAAAGTACAAGAATTGGGGCTGCAAATCCCTCACCCTTAGCTAAAATCACGTAAGATGGCAAGGGCCCTTTTGTGGGCAGAAAAGCGCACGAGCTCAGGTGAAAGCGTCCTAAGCGAGACCCCTGTTGAGGCTTAGGCTCAGAGACTTATAAGGTCGGAGTGTAGCGACGCAGGGCGCTGCAAACAGGTAGCGCTTTAAGAACTAAGGTCTGGGGTCCCCCTGTGCCACGAGCTCTGCTAGCGTGAAATCCATGCCCGGAAAGGAAACAGAGTGTGGGGTGCTGAGAGTATGTAGGAGATGTGGGAACCGCCAGGCGTACGGGGTTCCTCGGGAACACTAGGCTCTACTAGGCATAGGGGTTGGGGTTTAGGCTTGGGGTTTAGGCCTTGGCAACATGCAGAACCCAACGTCACAAAAACACATCCCAAGGGCTCGGGTTGAAGCGCCGCAAGAAACCGCCTCAGAGTCGTTATGGCTAGGAGTCAACATCCTCAAACTCCGAAATCTTCGTGCAACATTGCAGGAAGTTCGATTGTACTCGAACCTAAGCCGAAACCCTATACGCCTACACACGCTGGATAGCCTAGACGACCATGCAGATTAGCGCTCGAACCCAAGAGAAAACCCCAAGCACTAAACCCCTAAACCGTGCTTGTTCTTTTAAGCCCTTAGAATCCTATAAACTGAACCCCTAAACCGTGCTTGTTCTTTTAAGCCCTTAGAATCCTATAACCTGAGCCCCTGAACCATGCTTACCCTAAACCCTAAACCCTAAACCCTAAACCCCAAACCCCAAACCCCAAACCCCAAACCCTAAACCCTAAACCCTAAACCCTTGCTCCTTCAAGCCCTTAGCCCTCTAAGGCCAACATATGCCAAGGTGCATCTTCTGCCCGAAGTGTGCCGAGCTCCTCCGAGCTCCTGCAGAGGTTCAGGGGTTAGGGTTTAATATGGTTTAGGCTTTGAGGGATAAGATGCACCCTGTAGTCTCGAACGAAAGAAGCTTCTGAGCCCTTGCAGTAGGTTTAACTGTTTGGGGAATCGAATCTTCCTGGTAGATTATTGTAGTAACTAGCCATAGGGTTTAAACGCCGAACCCCGAATTTTCAAAGCAGCGGCAGCCTCCCCGACAACACCTAAACCAATCCCACCTTGCCTGGCTGCCCGCCGCCCCCCCGCAACCAGCCCCCCCCCCCCCCCCCCTAAAAAAGAAAACATAACAATAAGAATAGATTGAAATTAACAAACTCAACATAGAATAACGAAAACATGACTATATATATATACATATATATATATATAGAATTAAAAAATACCAGTACTAACAAGAATAATAACACTAGGTATAGTTTCATTGAAAGATACCTAAATCAAGCCCACAGGGCCTGCTTCTGAACCCCCAGCTCAAGGGACTGAAGGAGGGACCCTTAGATGCTACTTAGGTTTCTAGGGACTTTCTAACTATATATATATATATATATATATAGATACATATATATATATATATGTATATATGTATATATATATATATATCAGGATATCTATATATACATAGTATTTAGGGGCTATTTAGGGGCGATTTGGGGGCTAGTTAGGTTTCTAGGGACAGGGGTTATTTAGGTTTTTTTTAAATTAGGGGTTCATTAGGGCTTTTTGTGGGGCTAGCTAGGGTTCCAGGCACTATTTAGGGGTTATTTAGGGGTTGTTTAGGGGTTATTTTGGGGCTACTTAGGTTTCGAGGGACAATATAAGGTCATTTTAGGGGTTATGTAGGGGAATCATAACCCTAAACCCTAACCCCCCCCCCCCCCCCCTTTAAGCCCTAAATCCTAAACCCTAATCTTAAGGGTCGCTTCTAGGGGTCCCTCCCCTTTGACCCCCTAACCAGCGCCTGTCGCTGCCACGGACCACTCGTCGGGCCATAGCTCGTTGGAGGGCCTCCCGGTCTTTAGGGTTTTAGGGATCAATTAGGGTCATAGGGTTTAGGGTAATAGGGTTTAGGGTGTAGGGTTTAGGGTTTGGGGTTTAGGGTTTAGGGTTTAGGGTTTGGGGTTTAGGGGCTAGCGCAAAAGGGCTCAAAAGGTGCTCACTACTTGGACGTTATTGGGTACTTGAAAGTAGGGTTCTAGGTACCCTAAATAAGGGTTTTCACTGTAGCTGCCCTACTTCTCACCCTACTTATAAGTACCCATGAACCTTTAACTAAGGGCTTGGGGCTTAGCTTGGAACTAGACGCTTCTTGGAGGATGCATGAAGACCTCAAGTCCTAAATTACATGTCGACCCTAAACCCTAAACCCTAGACCCTAATCCCTAAACCCTAAACCCTAATACCCTAAACCCTAAACCCTAAGGGTTGTGTGCCCCTCGACTTCTCGCTGCCTCGCCTTCTCGCCCGGCCCTAAAACCCTAGACGCTAAACAGTAAACCCCGAACCCTAACCCTAAACCCTAAATTTTAGAGCTGCGCTAAGTGCGCCTCTGAGGTTGGTATCTTTTTGGTTTGTCCCGAACTCTTTCTCCTTTCATACTTCTTCAATTTACTTAAACCTCTTTTAGGTCCATAGGTTCAATTTACTTAAAGCTTCCTAAACCCCACCCCCCCCCACCCCCACTCCCCCATCTCCCCCCACTCCCCCCCACTCCCTGCACTCCCTCCCCCCACCCACTCCCCCCCCAAACCCGTCGGAGCCTGCAGGGTTTCCCCAAACCCTTCGGAATGGGGGGGGAGTGGTGGGGGGAGGGAGCGGGGGGGATGAAGGGAGTGGTGGGTGGAGGGAGTGGTGGGTGGGAGTGGTGGGTGGGAGTGGTGGGTAGGGGGAGTGGTGGGTGGGGAGAGTTCCTTAGAGGATGATACAAGACATCTACGGCATAAACATGGCATCCTTAAAGCGTGGTACACGACATCTACGGCCGAAAAATGGCATCCGCAAAGCGTGGATGCACGACATCTACGGCCGAAAAATGGCATCCTTACAGCGTGGATGCACGACATCTACGGCCGAAAAATGTCATCCTTCATGCGTGGATGCACCCTAGTGTCTTTTGTCTCGTGTTATCAAAAGACACTTTCCACCAATGCTCTAGGCGCCAACTTCACTGGCGAACCCCTAAACCCTAAACCCTAAACCCTAAACCTTAAACCCTAAACCCTAAACCCTAAACCCACCTACCCCCTAAGCCCTGGTCCCTGGAGTGCCCACCCCCAGGAAGCTCTGAGCGCCCACCCAAAGAAGTGGAAGAGAGCAATGAGACGTAAATCAAGTGGTGGGAATGGCAAGATCCCTAAACCCTAAACCCTAAACCCTAAACCCTAAACCCTAAACCCTAAACCCTAAACCCTAAACCCCGGTTCCGAAAACTGCAAAAGGTAAAGAACCTGAGGATCCTCCGAAACTGAGATGGCGCTGAATATGCGTAGTTGCTGAGTTCGTAAGCCCCCCCCCCCCTCCCAAAGTGTACACTTTCAGTTCTAGAGTCTAGAGGGGATTAGAGCATCCCAGAAAGGGTAAAGTGTACGCACTCAGCTACTGAGACATGGATCGAACGCAGCTGCATAATTCTTCAGAAAATGTGCGAGCTTCAAAGCCAAATTTACAAAATTTAGGCCAACGTACTTAGCAGTTTATGGAGACAGGTCTTCTAAATGGCGCACCATTTTGGGCACAACTGAGGGTAACTGTGAATGATGTATTTAGCGTAAAGAGCCCAAATAAACAAAGAGAGTTTGGTATGGTTTAAACAACGTGTGTAGAGAAACTCAATAAAGAAAGAGAGTTTGGTGTGGTTTAAAAGAAATGTGTTTCATAGTATCATATGGTATCCAAGTCTAAATACACACAGGGAAGCCCTGCAGTAATCGCCTGTCTGAAAACGGTAGGATGGCTCCCCATGATAGGTAGCTAGAAGGAGGGAATGGGCAAAGTAGATAATTTTGGGGTTTAGGGTTTAGGGTTTAGGGTGTGAGGTTTGGGGGGTGAATTGGGACCCCAACCCTAGACTCTACACCCTGATCCCCAGACCCTAACATAGCCTCGCGCCGTTGCGCTATACAATCCTCATAGGTCCCTTTGCTCGAATCATGGCTATTCCTTGTGGGCCTGCGTATAAAAATGAGCATCTCCTGTGAAACCCCTAACTAAACCCGAAACCCTGAACTCTAAACCCTAGAAACCCTAAACCCGACACCCTAAACCCTAAACCCAGATCCTATCACTCCTACGGCCCACCATGATCCCAAGCCCAGAACCCGATACTGTAGGCCCTCATTCCCCAAACCCTAAACCCTAATCCCTCATGGGGTTTAATTTTCAGGGTCAGGAAAACCTGCTCAAAGCCTCAGAAAAAAAAAAAAGCTAAAACAGATGTAGGTAACCCAGAGAGACCAAGACTCATCAGTTAAGGACAGCTTCGTCAAACATGAGGACTGTTAGTATCATAGTTTAAGGAGTGAACCATTTAAACCCTATAAAGCCTATGATTCCAAAGACCCGGACTCTTACCGGCCCAAGAGAATAATGACACGAGCTTGACGCCTCGACCACGTTCCGCACCGTGCGGCCATTGCCGTTGTCCCGGGATGGGTGGCAGTCGGGGTCTGCGATGTCGTTGCCTGGGTTTACGGTTTAGGGTTTATTTATCCTAGGATTCAGGGTTGAGGGTTCAGGGTCTAGATTTTCGGGTTCGGGGTTTGGGGCTTAGCGGTTTAGAGGGTGTAGGGGTGAAAGGTTTAGGGTTTAGAGCTTATGGCCGAGTCGGGGTTTAAGTGGTCGCGAGGTTTCGGGGCTATGAGCTGAAGGTTTAGGAGGAACATGGCCCGTAAAATAAGCACCCCCTCCCCCTCCTAATAGAAATAAAATACAAACAAGAGAGTATATATGTACATGTAAGTACGTATATGTATATGTATATGTATATGTATATGTATATGTATATGTATATGTATATGTATATGTATATGTGTATGTATATGTATATGTATATGTATTTGTATATGTATATGCATATACATACATACGTACATACATACATACATACATACATACATACTAGAGTAGAAAACTTGCTATGGCCTAAACAAAGATCCTTCCAACCTCCTTCAGGGTCCTGCATCCGCCCCTTACTGCCCAAACTACCCCTAACCCAAAGGTCCCTTACAAACTTTAGCTTAATCCCTAGACCCTTCTTGGAAGGCCAAGGGTACTTTTACGTAGGGTTCTAAGTAGGGCAACTAGGGCTCTCAGCTCATTTAGGGTACTTTTAACTTGTAACCCTATCTCTAAGTACCCCAAAACCCTGCGTCCTAAACCCTAGTTCTAAATCCTAAACGCTAAACCCTAAACCCTACTTGTTATAAGTACCCTGTTGCCTTGGAGTTAACTTACTGGCCCCAAACCCAAGGAAATAAAGGTTGAAACTTTCAGAATAAACTACCTTGTAAGAAGCCCAAAAGTTGAAAAGTGGAGTCCGAGCCAGTAAGTTAAACCCTCGGATCCCTACTCATGGCATCCTCCACCCCCTTCTGTGAAAAAAAAAACATCTGCTCGGCCCTGATCTGCAAAGTTGCAGCAGCCGCTGGTGAAGGAGATCAGGTCCACGAGTTGTGGTGAAACCTTGGCGTCTTGTGGGGCGTTGGGGGGCCCCCCCCCCCCCCCAAAAAAAAAAAAAAAAAGGGGACAACCCTTCTAAGCCCCAAAAGCGCATAAGCCCTCATGAACCCTACTTGTCTTGGAAACCTTTTTAGAAGCCAGGTCTTGGCCACAACCATCGTTTTCATGATGAAGCCGGAGAGGCGTCAGGCGCCACTGAAAGGCCCTGCGATGACAGGACCTGAGCAGGAACCACATGGGGGTTTCCGACAATAGGGGGGGGGGGGGTATAACGTTTTGCGGGCCCTAAACCCTAGACCCACAAAACCCTAAACCCTAAGCCCCCTGTACGGGGATTCTAGCACCCGGGGGTATAAAAAGGGGTACCCCTATTTTGGAAATCCCCATGTGAAGGTTCAAGGTTACTTATATTACATACTGCTTTTGGTGAGTGTACAAAAGGTTCCTTTTGAATATTTGTGAGTGTAGAGTATCTTTTTTCTGTCCTTTTGGGAATACAAGGAATATAAACCCTTACTGCAGAGGAAGGTTCAAGGGTACTCATCCCTAAGGTAAGGCCTCCACCTACCTCATAATTGTATGCTTGCCAAAAGTCCCTTTGTAGGATGTCTTCCCTATTTAGGTACATGGACCACTAGGGTATCAGTATGGGTTCTAGGTACCCCAAACAAGAATATCACCCTATTCTACTTATAGCCCTACTTTTATTACCTTGCGACCCGCCAAGCAAGGCTTTTGGTTCTTTCGGGGTTTTAGGGTTTAGGGTTTCGGGTTTAGGATGCGATCCTCAGAGGAACTGCAGTTCCTTTCTTGGGGGGGGGGGGGGGGGGGAGTGGGGTTTAGGGCTTAAGGTAAGAAACTTCAGTGCCCTAAACTGGGGAGCTGCAATTAAACGTACCGGCAGGTATTCGAATCACCATCATCAGCACGCACTAACAGTCCCTTCTTTTGGGGCCGAGATCGGATGTCATGCTGGGTTTATAGGGTTTAGGGTTTAGGGTTGCAGGGTTCAATTAGGGATCAGGGCCTAGGTTTACAGGGGGCACTGGGAGGATTTAGGATTCAGCGCGTGAGCCCTTGGTGCTGGTGGTGCTAACCAAGCCAGTGCCCGGATACAAAGACCAGCCGTGGTTTGGGTTTTAGGGTCTATAAGGTTTATAGGGTTTAGGGTTTAGGGGTTTAGGATTTACAGTTTAGGGTTCAATTAAGGCCAATAAACGACCAAATGAATGAAGTATCCCGAGGGCCTACCCGGCAGACATGTATGGATAGAGATCCAGACTCAAATAGACCACGTTGGCCACATTTGGCCTTAAGCAGATAGAGGCTTCAGGCCCTAAAACCTAAACCCTAAACTGCCCTAAGCCCTAAACCCCTTCTACCCTTAGACTCCTAGAACACGTGAACCCTAAGTCAAGGCTCCCCTTACATAGACCGCAGATTGTCCCAAAAAACGTTTTCGGGTCTAGGGTCTAGGCCCCTAGGGTCTAGAGGCTAAGGTCTGGGGTCTAGGGTCTCGGGTCTAGGGTTTAGGGTTTAGGGCCCTAAAGCCCAGCCCCCAAACCCTGAATAAAACCTGCACCCTAAACCCTAAACAATAAACCCTAAACCCTGAATACTAAACCCTAAACCCTATACCCTAGTTAGACCCAAAACCCCAGGTCCCGCCCAAGGCAAGGGACGAGGTTGCCAATCTGACCAAGCTCAGAGCAGCTGTAATCCTGCGTCGGGTGGTTTGGGGTTTAGGGTTTAGGGTTTGGGGTTTAGGGTTTGGGGTTCAGGGTTTAGGATTCTGGGCTTAGGGCATAAGGTTTCGGGTCGAGGCTATTAGGGTCTCTGTTTTAGGGTTGAGGGTTCTGGGCTTAGGGCGTATTGTCTAGGGTTCAGGGTTCCCATGAAGTCTGCTGATTGTGATCTCGCTATGGGATTCAGGTGGTTGGGGATTGGGGCGCGCACGCTACAAATTTGACTCAACCTCATGTGAATTGTGGGGCTCCTTTGCGGTTTCTCGGTCTTCCTTGCCCAAACCCTCAACAGCACTCGGCAGCATGGGGAGTTGATTTGTGTTCTGTGACTGTATCAGCTGTTTCCCTAAACCCTAAACCCTAAACCCTAAACCCTAAACCCTAAACATGTTTTGACAATAAGAGCTGACCACATCTATCGGCCCAAGCATGATATACCTAAAACAACCCAAACCTCAAAAACCCCTCAAAAACCAGTCTAACCCTAACGCCCTCAACCCCTCCGCCCACCCAAACCACAGAACCCAACCCCCAAACCCCTAACCCCCTTACCCGAATTCAACCAGAACCCCTAAACACCACCCCAAAGCCTAAACCCTAAACCCTAAACCCCAAACCCCTAAACCCTAAACCTAGAGCCCTTGCGCCTCAAAGCGGAAGCTGAAAGGAACGCGCGACTTGAAGCCGGGGTTCGAATCGAAGAAGGTGTCCATCTCCGACTCCTTTGGAGGAAGGGGTTTGGGTTTCAGGGCTTGAGAATGAAAGGGTTTAGGGTTTAGGGTTTAGGGTTTCGGGTTTAGGGCTTGGAGTTTAGGGTTCTCCGAACTGTCGAGTTGCGATGCCATTCGGGCGGCCTCTTAACGCGCAGGGGTCTCGAACAGAAGCCCCTAGTGTTCGAGCAACGCCCATTTCTGGAGTTTAGGGATTAGGCCTTAGGGTTATAAGGCCTGCGTAGGGTCTCAGGTGTAGGGTTGAGGTGTTCCTCTACTTGAGGCGAACTTGTGCTTGTCTTGGCGTCGGAGGAGTATCCAAGGCAGCGGATGAGTTTGCACATAGTTGCCGCCGGCACATGCAACTCTTCATGTCTGACAGAGCAGTCAGACTCCAACACAATTTCGAGAGCTCTCTAAACCCTAGACCCTACAAGTCCCTAAACCCTAAACCCTAAACCCTAGACTCTAAACCCTAATAAGTCTGAACCCTAGACCCCAGACCGGCCCAGGTGCATAGCCAGCCAAGATGACGATGACGTTCTTGCGCTTGTCCTCCATCTCCTGGTTGCAATCCCAACTTAGACCAAAACATGTTCGTTAGTTAGGAGCTTGTGTATTCTGCATAATATGTATATGAACATGTTCATATATATATATATATACATACATAGAGAGAGAGAGATGAACCATCTCACCCGTATGTATGTATGTATGCATGTATGCATGTATGTATGTATACATACCTACATGCATACATACATACATGCATGCATACATACTACATACATACATTCATGCAATACGCAACCCAAAAAATCATCCACACCCGAACGGCTGGACGTTTGTGGCTCGCCCTGAACCCTAAGCCCGAACGCCCAAACCCAAAGCCCCAAAGTCTCGGGGCCCCTGCACCCCCAAATTGAGAAGACCCCAAACAGCGTAAGAAAGCATGATTTTGAAGATGCAGTTTTCGACGGAAAGGAAGAGAAAGGGAGACACTCTCGTCAGACACCCTTCCTTAGACGGGTTTGATTTTTTGAGAATCCCAACAGTCGACTGATTGTCGCTGCAGGCCATGCTGAAAGCTGTCAAACTCCTGTCATACGCAGACGCGGTTTAGGGGTGGGTTGTGGGGGAGGCCACTCTGCGCAAGAACTGTACCGAGTTCACGGAACCAGAAAGGGTTTAGGATGGCTATCCATTTGCCAGATAAGAGATGTCCCCCATCGATGAGGGTTTAGGGTGTTTAGGCTTTAGGGCTATTTTGGCATCGTGTGTTTCGGAGTAGGATGGTGGCGTGCAAAGTAGAGTCCTTGATCAGTGTGTCCACAGCCTCCTGCCCGAACGAGTCCTGCGACGCTTGCAGGACCGAAGTAGAAAGGGGTTTGGGGCGGTCGCCCTAAACCCCAATGCTGATGGCCCTTGACTCGAACTTAAACTCTAAATTACTCTAAATGAGAGTTCTCAGGCTAGTTGCCTTTCAAAAGGTTGGGCTCATGTCTTGGGAGTCCGGCGCTCGAACACGTTAGCGTGACATGAAAGCAAGCCCTCTCATACCAACGTCCACAGTCATGCAACCTTAAGGCCTTCACAGGCTTCGATCCCTCAACCCCCCGCCCTAAACCCTAAACCCTAAGCCCTAAACCCTAAACCCTAAGCCCTAAACCCTACACCCTAAACCCTACACCCTAAACCCTAAACCCCAAACCCGACCAATCTCATAGAACGAGCCTTCCCATCTCGCACCAGTGCGTACGCTTCGTCGATGAAGAGGACGCCGCCCAGGGCGTTTTCGACGGCACGCTCAACCTGAGGGCGGCCCAAGGGTTTCGGATGTTGGGACTAGGGTTTAGGGTTTAGGGTTTAGGGTTTAGGGTTTAGGGTTTAGGGTTTAGGGTTTGGGGATTACGGTTTAGGATTTAAGGTTCATTGGGTGTGTGTAGATCACGGTCTAGGGCCTGAGGTGAGACATGGGAAGCTCTCCTCCTAGATCAGCACGAGAAAACAGATACACCGCTTGGCAAATGCTGCGCCCCTCAATTTCTCCACCCGGATTTTTTTGAATGGAGCGGCCTTGGTCGCACTCCAGGATATCAGCGCCCGGCTTTAAAGCAGGGCAGAGGCACTTATAACAAAGTTACCCACACTGAGGATGCGCTGTAGATGGTGTCTTCGTATCTAACTCTCAAAATGGTACCCGAACACTCTAAATTAAACCCGCTACACTCTAAACCCTGACCCCAAACCCCAAACCCCAAACCGTAAACCTGAATTGAAATCTAGGGCTTCAGGTTCAGGGGGAGACTGAGCCCGAAGCACCCTACAGGGGTTGAGGGCTTAGGAGAAAAGGGTTTAGGGGGTTAGGGGTTCAGGGTTTCAGGGGTTGAGGGATTTAGGGCTTTGGGGTTTTCGGGATTGACGGGCTTACAGTTCATGGTTGGGATAGTACGAAACATTTAAGTGTTTATTCCTTATTGACTTTAAGTACCCTTAAAAATGTAGTTCCCAAAAATGAAACATGTTACCCCACTATGACAAAGCTTACGGGTAAGGTCAAAGTGTGCAGGGTTTAGGGTTTAGGGATTTAGGGCTTTAGGGTTTCAGAGTTTAGGCTTTTTAAGGGGTTTAGGGCCTGGGGTTTCCGGGTTTAGGGGCTTAACCCTAAACCCTAAACCCTAAAACCGATACCCTACACCCTAAACCCTAAACCCTGCCTTAGGTGTTCAGGGTTTAGGAGCGGAAACCTCGCCTTGGGAGCGGTCTGCCCGAGGTATTGTGCGACGAGATCGGCGCGGCTGGCCTGTGAGTTGACTGTAAAGGGTTTAGGGTTTAGGGTTTAGGCTTTAGGCTTTAGGGTTTAGTGTTTAGAGTCCGGGGCTTGGGGCTTCCACTGCCCTGTTAAGCCCGGAATCCCTACACCCGAAAACGCCATACGGGCTTCTACTTTTCGTGTTGGTTCGGAAGGGTATTGGTACCTGCTTCTTGTTTACTGTGGCTTCTGATTGGAGTAGTCCCCACAAGGCTTCTATCATACCAGGGTAATGGACGTGTACTCAGGTTAAAAAGCGGTATGTGACACAAGTACGCAAAGCAAGGCATCCAGTCCGAACTACAGTTGCTCTCCCTGTAAGCCTAGTTATTCATACTGGCGTGTTCTCAGTAGGGAATGAGGGGAATGAGGTACCCTATATGGCCCTACATTATACATATATATATATATATCTATACATATATATATATATGTATTTCTGTATATATATATACACACACACCTACCCCCGTTTGGGGATTATGTAGGGTACCTCATTCCCCACTCCCTACTAAGAACCAGGGGGGCATAATGACCCATGCGCCTCCGAAATCCTTTGCCTGAACCCTAAACCCTAAACCCTAAACTCTACACCCTCAACCCTAAACCCTCAACCCTAAACCCTAAGCGGTGGACTCCGAACCTCGCATTCAATGCTGCACAAAGGCGCTGGCCAACAAAACAAGAGCTCGCCAGAGCTCCTACCATTTCTGTGGTTTAGGGTTTAGGGTTTAGGGTTTAGGGCTCAGGGTTTAGGGCTTAGGGTTCAGGGCTTCGGGTTGAGGGTTCCGGGCTTCTATTTCAGGGCTTAAGGTTTAACAGCTTGCCGCGCCCCCCCAACGCGCCAAATCCCAATCACGAAGCACGACCCGCCTCGCGGAACACCAGCTCAGTGGGCACCTCCTGCCCTTCCTCAATGCTCTTCTCCTTTGCCTGGGTCGGCTGTTCAGGTGCAGGGGTTTAGGGTTTAGGGTTCAGGGTTTTTCAGGTCTGGGGTTTAGGTAAAGGGGTGTCTTGCTGGCTGAGTGATTCTCTTTGAGTTGGTGGGGGGGAAGGGTAAAGGGTTGAATGCAGCAGGAATGCCTTAGGGGTCGGGTTTTCAGTTCTAAAACCATGAGTCCCCAAAACGATAAACCCTAAAACGTAAACCCAACACCCTAGCTACGGGGAGGTTTAGGGTTTAGGGTTTAGGGTCTAGGTTTTAGGGTTTAGGGTTTAGGGGACCTCTGAACTCTAAACTCATCCTCAGAGGCGTTTATGCTCGGGGCGAGCAGTTTCCCTACTGGTCTAATGGTCTAAACCCTAAACTTAAACTGAAGCCCTGAAGCCTAAACCCTGAACCCTAAACCCGAAACCCTAAACCCTAAATCCTGTTGCACGGGGCCCAGCCCGCACAGATACAAGCCTCCAAGAACAATTCGGCTTCTGAAGGGTGCATATACAGCGCTGCGGGGAGCCCTTACACCCCTAAACCCTAAACTCTAAACCCTAAACCCTAAACCCTAAACCCTAAACCCTGAACCCTAAACCCTAAACTCTAGACCCTAAACCCAAACCCTACTCTCCTACACCCCCCACACCCTAAGCCCATCTTCAGAAGAATTGGGGAGCCGTATGGCTTAAGGCTGCCGGGATTCTATGGTGTTCGCACGTTTAGGGTTTAGGGCTTAGGGTTTAGGATTAAGGGCTGAGAGCTTCGGGCTTGAGGCACACAGAGTACCGCCTTGGGGGCACAAAGAAGCCGAAAAACAGTGGTCCCCAGAGCCTTAGGGCTCCAAGCCCTCTAAACCCTAAACCCTAACCCCTAACCCCTAACCCCTAAACCCTGAACCCTGAACCCTGAACCCTGAACCCTGAACCCTAAACCCTGAACCCAAACCCTGAACCCTAAACCCCGAACCCTGAACCATAAACCCATGTTTCCCCTATCATCATGAGATATCAAGAGCAAAAACGAAGACGCGCCTCGGCTTCGAGCTTCTTCCTTTGCTCTTTCGGCATGGACACAACGCCCATCTTCACCTCGGCAAACCCTTCATCCCGAAGAGTTACGGGTTTCTTAACCCTTAACCCTTAAACCCTAAACCGAAACCCTAAACCTAAAACCCTAAACCGGAAACCCTAAACCCCACACCGAAACCCTAAACCCTAGACCCCAAACCCTAAACACACAATTATGGGGCTTAGGCCTTAGGGTGCATAGTTTGTAGGGCTTGGGGTGTAGAGTTGGCTGTAGAGTTTAGGATTTCAGGTGCAAGGGTCTGGGTCCAGCGTTTACGACCATTGACTCCCGAGCTCCTGAAAACCCTAGAGCGCTACAACCCCAAACCTCAACCCCCAACACTAAACCAGCAACCCGTCATAACCAAAGCTTGGCCCAAGCCAACCCTAAACCCTAAACCCTAACCCTAAACCCTAAACCCCAAACCCTAAACCCTAAACCCTAAACCCAAAACCCTACAACAGAAGGGTTTAGGGCTTAGGGCATCGTGCTCAGGGCTTGGGGTGGAAGCCTCAGAACCCACAACCTCATAGGGTTTAGGAGTTTAAAAGTTTAGGGTTTAGGGTTTGGGGTTTAGGGTTTAGGGTTTAGAGTTTAGGGTTCAGGGTTCACAGCGCCACCACCTCGGCAGTGGGGCTGCTTCCAGACGCAGCCGCAACCGTGGGGGGCTGCCGCTTCCTCCTCCCCGGAGCCCGCCATAGCCAGCATTCCCCACCAAAATGCAGCTCCAACAGAGGAACCCTAAACCCTAAACCCTAAACCCTAAACCCAAAATGCAGCTCCAACAGAGGATCTGGAAAAGCGAGACCATGACTGGCGCCGTGGGGCTCTGCCTGTTTGGGCCACAGCGAGGCTAGAGGTTCTGTGGTGCCTGCTGTCTGTGTGTGCTGCCGAAAGGTTGGCTGTGGCGCCTGCTGTGTGCGGTCCTGTGCTGCCTGAAGTGCTCTAGGCTGTGGTGCTGGTGCCTAAAACCCGGCTATTGAGGGGGTTTAGGGTTTAGGGTGGCCCTCTGGAGCCCTTAACGCCACACATCTGGAAACCCTGAACCTTCACCCTCAATGATGAGCCCGCGAAACCCCAAGCCCTTTCACTCCAGACTGTGGGCTCGGCCCGAAAACCCGAAAACCCGAAATCTAACACCTAAGACCCCGAAACCCTAAAGCCCGGAACTCAAAACCCTAAACCCTAAAGCACCTAAACCCTGAACCCTGAACCCTGAACCCTACACCCTAAACCCCAAACCCACACTCCACTGGAGGCTGCTGACCATCATCTCACCGACGATGCGGGCAACCACCGTCTTTCCGGTGCCAGGATTCCCAAGGAAGCCTGGGCTTTTTGGGTTTAGGGTTACGGTTTAGGGTTTAGGGTTTAGGGTTTAGGGTTTAGGGTTTAGGGTTTAGGGTTTAGGGTTTAGGGTTAGGGGTTAGGGTTTAGGGTTTAGGGTTTAGGGTTTAGGGTTTAGGGTTTAGGGTTTAGGGTTTAGGGTTTAGGGCTGAGGGCTTAAGGTTTAGGGCTTAGGGCTTAGGGTTTAGGGTTTAGGGGTTTTAGGATTTGGGCCTTAAGGTTCAAGGTTTCGCTTAAGGTTTTCGGGCTTCGGCCTAGGCTTTAGGGATTGGGAGTTGGAGGTTTAGGAAAGTTTAGGGTGTAGGCCCAGAGTCCAGGATTGGGGGTCTTGTGCTGCTCAGGGCTTTAGGATTTGAGGATAACCCTAAACCCTAAACCCTAAGCCCTAAACCCTTCAGTCCAAGGTTTGGTTTAGTTGCGAGCTTTCAGGCTTTGAGGTGCGAAGGTTTAGGGTTTCGGGCTTTAAGGCACACCCCCCCCCCCCCCCCCCCCAAACCCTAAACCCTAAACCCTAAACCCTAAACCCTAGACCCTGGACCCTGGACCCTAGACCCTAGACCCTAGACCCGAGACCCGAGACCCTAGACCCTAGACCCTAGACCCTCACCCTCAACCCTAGTGCTTTGAGGCATGTCTCAGGGGCTGTGGGAGTTTGGATCGCTGCCTTCGGGTGCTTCGGTTTAGGGTTTAGGGTTTAGGGGTTAGGGGTTAGGGGTTAGGGGTTAGGGGTTAGGGTTTAGGGTTTAAGGTTTAGGGTTTAGGGTTTAGGGTTTGGGGTTTAGGGTTGGCATGTACTGTCGGCCGCCCGGAATCCTGAAACCTTGGATAAAAGAACACACATTGGAACATACTTCAACATGTATACAAATACACACATATCTTTACACATGTTATTATGCAGTTGTCGGTCTGTCTATACATATGTACGTACGTATGTATGTATGTACGTACGTATGTATGTATGTATGTATGTATGTATGTATGTATGTATGTATGTATGTGCGCATGCATGTATGTATGTACACATGTTGGGGCGGAATAACTGGAAAGGGCATTATTGACGGACTCGGGGTGATTAACAGGCTCAAGCACGCGCCCAAACGCTTGCTGGGTGTGGAGTGGAGTTTGGGGGTAAGGTTTTAGGGTTGAGGGTTTAGCGATTGGAGTTTAGGGTTTGGAGGGTTTAGGGTTGAGGGTTTAGTGCTTGCAGTTTAGGGTTTGGGGCTTAGGGTTGAGGGCTTAGGATGCAGCCCGAAGCCATAAGCCCTGAACCCTGAACATCAGAGTCATCCTGGCCATTCCTGAACATTCGACCGTCTCAGCCAGAAAGCGCATGTGGAAGGACTGGCCTGGGAAGTCGAATGCTCTGTATGCTTGTGCACCAGACGGTTGGGGTTTAGGGTGGGGGTGGGGGGTGGGGGTTCTGAAGATTAGACGCCCTTGTTGGGGAGTCGGAAGAGGGAGGATTGTGCTGTACTTCGGAAATAAAGGAAAACCCGAACTTTGTAACCCCGGCTCCCCGCATGTAGGGCGCGAGGTTTAGGAGACTGAGTACTATGAATCACAACCACAGTAATGCAAGATCTGCTCAGCCAGGGTTTAGGGAAAAGGCGTGCGTGCTTGAGAAAGGGTCGGGGGTCAGCCCTCGAAGCCATAAAGGCTTAGGGTTTAGGGTTTAGGGTTTCGGGTTTCGGGTGTGGGTATAGAGTTTGGGTATCATCCCAATGGCTTCGGATAACCCCTGTTCAAGGATGTGAGGTGTTCGGGAGGTACTCAACGGAGGCATGACTAGCTTGCTTGCAGTCGACGAAAACTGTAGTTGCTCGTCATCCGGCTCAGCATTGACAACAGAAACTGGGGTAATATGGGGGCCCTCATAATTAGAATAGGGTTTTGGGGGGTCATTATCGTAAATTATAAAGGGACGATAAGGGAATGCTAATGGTAACTATTCCGACCCTCCATTCCCGGGGGCGACGAACTGGCTTGGCTTGAGCATTTTAATGGAATCTCGGCAGAATGCAACAGGGCGGGGCGGGGAAGGTTGGTGGAGGACAATGCTCCGCTTACCCAGGGACGTCACAGCTCAAGCTCGACAGGGACGCGACATGGGATCCCGAAGAGTAAACCCCATCCCTGAACCCGGAACCCTAAACCCTAAACCCTAAGCACTAAGCCCTAAGCCCGAAACCCAAAACCCTAAACCCTAAACCCTAAACGCAAGCAGCCCTGGCAGGCCTTCCAGCGAGGTCATACCCAAGCTCGTGCGCCAAGCGCTGAGCTTGACCAGGCCGAAGAGCTTGCCCATGGCCTGCTTGGCAGCTTATTCTAAGCGTCCATGCACCTAAGGTTTAAGGTTTAGGGTTTAGGGTTTAGGGTTTAGGGTTTTGGGTTTTAGGGTTCAGGGTTCAGGGTTCAGGGTTTAGGTACATCTAATGCTTGGGATTTAACGTACCCCTATAGCGGGACTTTGCGTCCCACGTCTACAATAGTGAGGTACATGGGCCCTAAAGGCTTGAGAGAGTCCCGATTTGGGATTTTGGGGTTTCGTCGCTTTCGTCTTGGGAGATTTAGGGTTTGGGCTCTACGCTTTAGGGATTTAAGGTGTAGGGTATCAAATATTTAGAAGTACAAGAAGGTCTACAGACATTACATACACATATCTATATTGTTTCACTAGATGAGGCCGTAATTAAACAACTTCAAGGTCGGAGTTTAGTGTAAGTCCTGCGACCATTGTGCGAGGTTCGTGGAATTCTTGGGGAAACTCCTTTTGGGGGTTGAAGGCTTTTTTCTCTTCACCCACTCTACCTCCTAACCCCCGCAAGCCCTTAAACCCTAAACCCGAACCCTTGACCCTAAACTAAACCCTAAACCCTAAACCCGTAACCTCCGGGAGCGTCTTGGGCCAAGAAGACCTGGCTCGGATGTTGATCCTAAAGCCACAAAACCCTAAAGCGTTTGGGGGGGTTAAGAGGGCCAGGGTGAGGGTTTAGGGTTGGGGGTTTAACTTTCCAAGCCCCTCAACAAATCCATGCTCCCCGTTTAACCCCAAGGAACATGTGTGTAGCAGCCTACTAAACCCGAAAACCCTAAACCCTAAACCCCTAAACCCTAAACAATCCTTGGGGCCTCCTTTACCGACTGCAGCCCAACCAGCTTTCGCAGCTTTGCCAACAGCGGACGCAGCTCCTGACTGGGCTTTAGGCTTTAGGCTGTAGGGTTTGGGGTTTGGGGTTTAGGGTTTGGGGTTTAGGGCTTGTTAGGTTTGGGGGTTTTGGGTTTGAGGGTTTAGGGAACCCCCATCCCTGAACGCCCAAGGAGAACCGCCCCGGGAGGGGGGGGGGGGGGGTTAAAGATTTTTGGGTTCAGGAGTCTCAGGGTCTCCGGATTTTGGGGGTTTCAAGTTGCCTTGGAAGGTTGGCGCAGCTTTTGCGTGCTGTGAAGAGTTTAGGATCTTGAGGGCTTAGGGTGGGCTGTCGATGGAGGTGACCCCGAACCCTACCAAATAGAGGTACTGTAAGGGACTTGCAAAAAAGACAAGATAGATGCTCCAAGGGCATATCTGGTGAAATATTGCCGCCTCACTTTCATCCCTACCTTGGGATGTTCCGCCTTATACTAACAGTCCTTAATAGGGCGTAAAAAGAAGGGGTACTACAATCCCTATTAAGGACTGTTAGTATCCAACACCTAAACCACAAAGCCGAAACCCCAAACTCTAACACCTCTAAAAAGGGTACACACACACAACCCGCCAAAGAAAAATGGGGCAAAAAACAACAAGCACCATTACCCACCACTACCAACCATTGCCCACAATCACCCACTACGCACCACTATCCATGGCAAGCCCTCCAAGAACCCAAGGAAGCTGCACAAAACCATCCTCGGAGTCTTCCATGAGGGGCAAGCTGTCCTCGACTCGGGGCCAGCCAAGCGGACCCTCCCCCCCCCCCCCACCCCTTCCCCCAAGCGCCAGTAGGTATGTCAAGAGATGGGGGGGGTGTACGGAGATAAGGGACCCCTAATATAGACAACAGCACCCCAATAAGGTAGCCCCAATGTCGGAAACCCCCAACTGTCTGGAGATGCGAAGGTTTGCCCCATTAAGCTCGCATCCTAAGCCCACAAGAGTTTCAGGGGTCTGGTTTGGGCATTCGGGCTGACTTTGCTGACTCCCAGAAATTCGAGAGGCACCTTCCCTAAACCCTAAACCCTAAACCCTAAACCCTAAACCCGGAACCCTGAACCCTGAACCAACCCTAAACCCTCAACCCTAAACCCTAAACAGGTTCCAGACCCTGAAGCACCACCTTGAGAGCCCAGCAGGTGCATCTCTACTTGTAGGTTACCTAAGAGCCCAGCAAGGGGTTTAGGGTTTAGGGCTTAGGGCTTGGGGCTTAGGGTTTTAAGGTTTAGGGTTCATATTGTGCAACAAGAGCCTGGAAAGGTTTGGAGTACATGACCAGGAATAAAGTTTCGTACCTCTTGACAAGACAAAGTTGACGGAGGACACCGGAGTTCTGCACCATGGTTTTGTCCGAGCCTGGCCAGCGGAGGAATAAATCCCCCGGAATAAACTTATACTATCTTACTTGTTCCGGTGGAGGACCGGCGCTCTTGGAGCGCAGGAGTCTAAGGGGGAGAGGGGGTCTTCTGCTATTTTCGTGTGTTATGTTGTGGGTACGACGAACATTTGGCCTGCCGCAGTCCTAAACCCTACACCCTAAACCTTAAGCCCTAATTAAACCCGAAACCCTAAACCCTACACCCCAATATACGTTTCAGACCGTTCAAGTGGCCAACCTCGTCAAGGAGTTCATGTTGTTCAGTGTTCTTCCTTGTGTCCGGGCCATGGTGCGGAGCTGAGCACCTCATACCTAAGCCTTCCTTCCGTGCCTACTTAGGGTTTAGGGTTTAGGGTTTAGGGTTTAGGGGTTTAGGGTTTAGGGTTTAGGGTTTAGGGTTTAGGGTTTAGGGGACATGAGGTCCTCGTGCCACCGGCAAGGCAAGAACATCAACTGTCTTTTACCCTGCGCCCAGACAGGGAATCCATGCAACAGCCCAAAGAGCCTACCTAGCTCATCGCCACCTGGATTACTTGGGAAAATCTGAGGGTAGTTCCATGGTCCTTAGGATGGGCCCTTAGAAGGGTGCGCCTTATAGAACCCATTTAAATTATGGGCCCACACATGAGAACCCTTTGAAAGAGGTTAGGGACCGTGTTAAGGGCCCATGAAACTACCCTCAGACAAAAAAAAACTGGCTGGGAACTCCCTAGGCCCTGAAACCTAAACCCCTAACCCTAAACCCTAAACCCTAAGCCCTAAGCCCTAAGCCCTAAACCCTAACCCTAAACCCCTGGACCCTACGCAACCCCCTATGTTCTCCAAGTCTCGTATTTCGGCGCAGGCGGCGGGTTCCTGGGCGGATGAGGGGCCAGCTTGGCGAACTCTGTCTTTGGGATTCAGAGGGAGGTGCAGGTTGACGTGCCTGAACTTTTCGACAGGGCTTTGACAAAGGGTGGTGAATCTGGTTTTGTCAGATCAAGTTAAGGTTTGTTCTAGGTTGGTGGGTCATAGGTTGGCCTACAACCGGTGAGAACTAAAAAGGTCCCTAAACCCTAAACCCCAAATCCTAAACCCTAAACCCTGAGGTACAAGTATGATGTTTTTTTGGAGGTGTTGGAGGTGTAATCACAAAGAAGCGCTCAGGTGGCTCCCAAGTGGTCCTAGGTTGGCCCCTTAAAGCCTCTGAACAATACTCCTGAACATGATCCTCTTTACACCCAAGAAACCCAATAAACCCAACCCAACAAGCCCTAAACTCTCACCCTAAACCCTAAACCCTAAACCCTGAACCCTAAACCCTAAACCCTAAACCCTAAACCCCCCAGGGGCCCTAGCGAGGTTCTCCCCAATGAATGCACCCTGGGAGCAAGCCCGCAGATGTCAAACTTAAATCCGCCCGCAAGTCATTGAACCCTACGAAAATAAATACTGTAACAAATAGATATATATATATATACACACACATTTCTTTATGTATATATTTATGTGTTGATTCATAAGTTTGTGTTTTTATTTACTTGTTCATCTACTTAGATTTATTCTTACATTTATACTTATATGTATACGCATCGTCTAGTATATATATATATATATACATATGTATGTACCTTCCAACAACTGCCGGGCAAGGAGCGGAACTTCCTCCAGCAGCCTAAGAGGGAGCTTCGTCTGGGTTTTGGGGTGTGCTGCTGCTTGTTTGTTTGCTTGCTTGTGCTTGTTCGTTTGTGTGCTTGTTTGTTTGTTTGGTTGTTTGGTTGCTTGCTTGTTTCCTTGCGCAACCCCAAACAGAGCATCAAACGCACCACAACGCATATATTGGCCCGTGAACTGACAGAAATGACAAACACAAGCTCTTTCGCACAGAGTTGAGCTGCGAAAAAGAAACACAGGCGTCACGAAAGAAACCAAAAATGAAATCAAAATAAACTTTAAAGGTCACGAAAGCACACTGCTCAAGGGCTTGGTTGTGTCACGTGCCTGGTGTTCTCGCACAGCTCCTTTGAGAGCGCAATACTTGTTTGGGGTTGCGGGGTGATGTTGGGCATAGGGCCTCACGCACACGGAAGGTGCATGCGTGGGTGTATGTGTGTGTGTGTGTGCACGCACGTGTGTCTGTGTGTGTGTGCTTGCATGCGTTTGTGTGTCCCCATGTGTGTGTGGGGGCGCGCGCACGCGTCTTTGTCTGTGTCCGTGTGTTTTTTGTTCGTGTGTGTGCACGTGCACGACACATGTGTGTTGTGTGTTTGTACGCACACGCGCTTGCTCGTTTGTCTGTGTGACAGTGCGTGTGGATGCTGGAGAGGCGCAGCTCCGCGGGTTTGGAATGTTCCCCCCAACACACGTGGGGATGCCAAGTTAGTTTGGTTGCAGGGCGTTTGGGATGGCATCGGCTATGAAACGCATTATTTTGCACGCAGGGACTGGGCTCAGCTCAGCGCGTTCCACCAAGAGCTTAGAGCTCTTGCCGAGTGGCAAACATAAATATCATTGCAATCACGGATCCTACCTGAGCCATGTTCATGGCGTTGCCACAAATGCACTTGAGCTTTCTATCGGGGATCTTCGCGAGCTCATTCAAGAACTCTTCGGGCATCTCTCGTGTGAACGGGTGCTCATCTGGCAAGAAGTACGGCAGGCCCTGAGAAGCGAGCAGCTCCAAAACCAAGAACTCGCGATCGGCCTGAAAATTGTAGATCACGGAGTTACGCACCAGCGTGGGCACGATGCTCATAGGCTTGGAGTATCCGGGATTCTGGGCAATGTCAGCGTTCACATCCAAGTCACACAGCATTGTCTCCTGCACCTTTTCCAAATGCGTCAGCATACGCATTCTCTCCCCGGTGGGCATGGCCGCTTGGACGCCATAGTGGTGCCCAGGCGGTCTCGGCGGGAGGCCTTTAGCCTCCGCCATCTGGTCCACCAAGCCATCCACCAAGTTCTGCGGGGCTTTCAGGTACACGGATCCTTTTAGCAATAAGCGCCGGAACACTAAGGGCTGGAAGAAGTCTTGTTGAACAGAACCTTGCCGTAAAGTGGGGAGGCAGGACTTGGGAAAACCAGAGTGTAACGTCTTGACCGGTTCACTGGCAACCCCAGGTCAATTGGGCTGAACACCATGCTCAAGATCTGCGCCTGAGGCCAAACAGCTCGAAAGAACTCCTCAGCTGGAAAAAGAGGCACGCACTCGTTCAGCACCACATCCGGACCCTTTCCAGTCTCAGAAGCGGCCTTCAGAGAGAACACCCATACCAAAGCTGGAAGCGACTGAGGATCTAGCCAGCCAGCGAGCTTGCCCCTGCAACTCCAGGGAGTACAGGTGTTTCCGCCTGCCTCCACCCACAGGCTTCCAGCCTTTTGCGGCGGTGCCCATGCGCACTGAGCACCGCACTCGGAGCATTCTGCAGTCAAGTTAAACTTGTCAAGATTGCTCTGTAGCAACAAGCAAGCCTCCTGCAAGAAGCGATTGCCAGCGTCTGTGACGATACTTCGACTGGCCGCCTTGGGTTGTCCTCCCCTCTGCCCCCCCCCCTCTCTCCCCCCCCTCTCCCGCCCTCTCCCCCTCTCCCCCTAGATCCTAACCCTAAACCTTTTTTTTTGTCCATCACCAATCACTGTACAACGGTGCAAATCAAGCAAACTAGCGCGGTGCGGCAGTGCGGCGGGGCGGCGCAAGCTGGTGCAAGTCGGTGCCCGCTTGGCGCAAACTGACGTGAATCGGTGCAAGCATGAGGAAAACTGGGCGCCCAAGCACACAGCATGTGACCAGTGTTCAGAAATGAATGATACGAAGTGAAGGGGATGAGGCGGATGAGGAAACACTCGAAAAGCGGCCGGTTCCTTCCTTAATGTGAAAAGAAAGTGCAGCGCATGTGTCGGGCATAGCCAAAGGCATTTTATACATGGCAAGCTCCCTGCTAACGGACCCTCACGAATCCTAATAATCTAGGCCCGCAAGCCGGCATCAGGGGTTTAGGGTTTAGGGTTTAGGGTTAAGGGTTTCTGATTGTCACAGCAGCTGTCGCAGGATAACAGCATGCGGCCCCAACAGGATTCAAAGCATCGGTAAGTCGTTGCGGCTTACATCGGCATCCTCAACAAGATCACAAGCTTGCCCCGTTCACACAGCGGGAACTCACTGCCTTCGGATTCTCAGGTCTGGTGCTGCTTCTTCATCGTCGTTACTGTTTATTAAGTACTGGCCTAAAAACTCTCGAGAATGACAGATTTGCCACAGAAAACGAGAATGAACCGTGGCCAAATCCTGTCGGAAGCATGACAAAGGTCAGCGAACGCGACAACGAACCTACATAGGCCCAATCTTCTTGTCGAGAAATCGTGGCACAACAAACAGACATGCGCATGAAAGTAGACGCAAGCGTACACCCACACATACAAACCCGCACCCAGCCTCTCTTCCTATCTCCCCCTCTCTCTCAGCTACCTCAATCTCAGAATGCGGTCTTTGCAATTTGAACCCCAAAGCCTGCTCCAAATCCTCCCCTAAACCCTAAACCCTAAACCCTAAGCCCTAAACCCTAACCCCTAAACCCTAAACCCTAAGTCCTCTTCTCAGGCTGCTGCTGGAAGCTCAAGTTGCAATCCCCGTACGTGATGGAATCCACCAGATTCTGCCAGGACCTGGGCAGGGGGGGGGGGGGGGGGGGGGGCCATTTATCCCTAAACCCTAAACCCTAAACCCTAAAACCCTAAAACCCTAAAACCCTAAAACCCTGAACCCTAAACCCTTCATGTTCAGGTCTTCATCGCAAAAAGCCATCAGCATGAGCTAAGTTAACACATAAATGTGGGCATTTCCCCAAATAGGGTGCCCCGAATATACCCCAAAATCCTTTTAATCCTGATTCTTGGAACCCACAAAAAAGGGTACCCATACTTTCGGCAACCCCCCATGTAAATGATAGCGACCACCTTCAGTATCAGGTCCTAACACCGAGCACTCTATGCATGGGTCCCTGTCTCCCTTGGTCGCCAAAAGGATCCTCATAGCTCCCTGAACATGAAGGGTTTAGGGTTTTAGGGTTTAGGGTTTAGGGTTTAGGGTTTAGGGATAAATGGCCCAAAACCCCATAAACCCTAAATCATCTGGTGAACTGTACTTCAAGCACAGTCCATGCTCGCCTTGAGCACCAAACCCTTCACCCGTGACGAACCCCCCCAACCCGAAACCCCAAACCCTAAAACCTAAGATGTGCATCCCGAATGAACCCCTAAGCCTCAGCTCAGGTTTGTTGCGCCCCCTGGCGCAAAGGCTGAATGTAGCTCCATACCCAGGCCGCTAATTCTGTAGCTCTCTCTTTTCTCCCCCGGCCCTCCCCCCGCCTAAGCCCTAACCCCTAAAACCTCTAAACGCAAAACCATCTAAACCCTAAACCCTCTAAAAACCTAAACCCTCTAAACCCGAAACCCTCTAAACCCGAAACCCTCTAAACCCGAAACCCGCTAAACCCTAAACCCTCTGAACCCTATAAACCCTATGAACCCTCTAAACCCTATAAACCCTATAAACCCTATGAACCCTAAACACTAAACCCTAACCTCCCCCTCGCCCCCACCTCCCCACCCTTGTCAAAGGAACACCCATTGGAGATCTGGTGTGGCGAAGTGGTGGCTTTCTTGGAAGCTTGGCCCGCGAGGCCCCAGAACAATGAGCCCCCCAGAACTGTAGGTGTTAGGGCGACTAGAAGCTTCGGATCATTTTTAGGGTTTAGGGTTTAGGGTTTAGGGTTTAGGGTTTAGGGTTTAGGGTTTAGGGTTTAGGGTTTAGGGTTTAGGGTTTACTGTAGGGTTGGGGTTTAGGGTTTAGGGAACAGGTTTAGGCTTTCGGGTTTAGGCTTAATAGGGTTTAGGATTTAGGCTTAGGGTATAGGAGATTCCTGGAAGTTGGAAGATTAAAATTTAGGGTTGGGGTTTCCTAGAACTTGGGCTTAGGGTGTAGAGGTTTGTTTTACTTCAGTTGTCTATCCAGGAGACAACCCCCCCCCCCCCCCCTGCCCACTATGTAATATACGGGGCGGAGTGACTACTACTCGTATTCCCCTCTCATTCTACTATCCTGTATAATCATATGATACTAACCACCAAAACCCAAAACCCAAAACCCAAAACCCTAAACCCTAAACCATAGGCCGCCCGCGCCAGGCGGCGGCCGGTACAACTGAACGCTACCGCTTCGAGATCTGCTTGCTTTGCCAAGCAGATCGAGCTTGCCACACCTGATGCATCCCTGCTAGCCATAGGGCACAATGTAATAATGGATTAACCCTAAACCCCCGACGCGCGATCCCGGCGGGGGAGGTCGGGCCTAAGAAGCTGTTGCGCCCCCACCAGGTTGCCCCCGCCAAGGTTGCCCCCGGTTGCCCCCGCCAGGGTTGCCCCCGCCAGGGCTGCCCCCGCCAGGGTTGCTCCCGCCAGGGTTGCCCCCGCCAGGGTTGCCCCCGCCAGGGTTGCCCCCGCCAGGGTTGCCCCCGCCAGGGTTGTTCCTCCCACAGTTGGCTTGGCCAGGATTGCCCCGCCAGGGTTGCCCCCACCAGGGTTGCCCCCGCCCGCCAGAGTTGCCCTCGCCAAAGTTGCCCCCGTCGGGTTGCCCCCCGCCAGGGTTGCCAGGGTTGCCCCGCCAGGGTGACAGGGTTGCCCGGGTTGCCCCCGTTGTATCGGGAATTGGCCTCGCCGCCAATTCAGGAATCGTGCACCTATATGCTTCGTCGTCCATTAGTGGCCCCCCGCTCCTTTGAGACTCCAGACACACATATATACATATATATATATATGTTTATACCTCACCTTGCCCCCGCCAGGGTTGCCCCCGCCAAGGTTGCCAGGGTTGTCTCCGAGGTTTGCCCCCGTTGCCCGCGCCAGGGTTGCCCCCGCCAGGGTGGCCCCCGCCAGGGTTGCCCCGCCAGGATGCCCCAGGGTTGCCCCCGCCATTTTTCATATTTTTAATCTACATTTTCTATCTTCAAATATTCCTTTAAGGAATTCCACTAATAATAAAATAGCATTTTTCCTTTCATTATTATCGGCTTCTCTTCTTTCTCACATCCAGATAATGCATTAGAAGCGTGTGGATTACTTACTCCTTTACATATCGTACCTGAATGGTATTTCTTATGCCAATTGCTATGTTAAAAGCTGTACCAAATGAAAATGCAGGATTCATTATCTTATTTACTTCTTTCTTCATCCTATTTTACTTTATGAGAAGTCTTTCAATGTCATTCTATTTTATAATTAAGACATCCAGTAGATTTAATGGTTTTTATCGCAACCCCGCCGGGTTGCCCAGTTTTACCCCTGCCAGGGTTGTGTTTATCAGGATTGCCCCCACCAGCGTTGCCCCCGCCAGGGTCGCCGCCGAGTTAGGGTTGCCCTTGGCAGGGTTGCCCCGCCAGGGTTGCCCCCAGGCTGACATTGCCCTCGCCGGGTTGCCCCTCCTCACGTCGCCTACTCAGGAATTGTGCACCTTCTCTGCGACCCAGATGCTTGAAGGGCCCTGTCTAAGTTCTCAATTAATTGCCAGGGTTTCCCATTAGTAGTCGCCCCCGCCAGGGTTGCCCCCGCCAAGGTTGACATGTACACATATCTGTAAAAACAGCCCCCGCCAGGGTCGCCCCCGCAGCAGGGGTTGCCCCCGCCAGGGCTGCCCTTGGGTTGTTGCCGCCCGCCCCACCGGCCCTTGTGCGACCCCGGGAGGCCGGGCCCAAGATGCACGACCCCAGCATAGGAGGTCCTGCCAAAAAAAGACCAGGCGGGCCAGAGAAGCCCTTGCGCCAGCGGTGGCCGGAGTTGAGCGCTTGGCACTCGCCATTCTGCCATATGAATGAGCTTGGGTCCGGAATTGGGCTTGAGGGTGTCTTAAACACAGTATGGGTGAAACAGATTGTCCCGCTCTCTGTTGATCCAGGAAGGTGCAGCAACAGCAGCAGTCAACACGCGCCCCCCCACCCCTTTTTGGGGGGGCGATCCTGGCGGGGAGCCCTGAGAAGCCCCTGCGCCCCCGCCGTAGCCCGCCAGGGTTCCCCCCCGCCCCCCCAGAATAGGTTGGTCTCGTTGGCGGTTCAGACAGGGTTGCCCCACCAGAGTTTGGCCCCTGGCAGGGTTGGTTGCCGCCCGCCAGGGTTGCCCCCGCCAGGCATGAACCTCAACCACCGCCATGGTGACAGGGTTGCCCCTGCCAGGGTTGCCAGTGTTACAGTGACAGGGTTGCCAGGGTTGCCCGGTTGCCCCACCAGCGTTGCCGCCGCAGGGTTGCCGACGCCAAATTTGCCAGGTGACAGGGTTGTCTGCCAGGGTTGCCCGCCAGGGTTACCCCCGGGTTGCACCCGCCAAGGGTTGCCCTGCCAGGGTTACCCCACCAAAAAAAAACCCTAAAAACTAAGTGGTTCTTAAGTCTCATGAACCTCAACCACCGCCACGCTGACAGGGTTGCCCCTGCCAGGGTTGCCAATGTTACAGTGACAGGGTTGCCCCCGCCAGGGTTGCCCCCGCCAGATTTGCCCCGTTGTTTTCATCAAAGTTGCCCCTGACCCAGAACCCGCCCCCCCCCCCCCCCCCCAGGGTTGCCCCGCCACTTGAAGGTTCACGCTACTTACGAAACACTAGATAACTGTACTTATAACCCTACTTATAATACATCTAAAGGGGCCTTTTGGGGGTTATTCCAATTATAAGTAAGGGTTATAAGCCCAGTTAAAAGTGGTTCTTAAGTCC